AACTTAATCGAGTTCAGTGCCAAAGAGCTTTCTTTTCTTTTTTTTTCTTCTTCTTTTTTTAAGAGTTTTCTTTAAGCAACTGATTACAAGTTTAGGTATCAGAAATCTTACTTCTATAAAAATTATTATCTGAACTATATCTAAATCAAACCAAATTATCTCACCCATTATAAAATAATATTCTTCTCTTATAAATAAATAATTTTATTTAAATATTTCCCAGCAACAGGCTTGTGAGAACAAACCAGGAAGTGAAACCAAATATGATCCCGCTGTGAAAGCCGAGTAAAATGAAAGAACACATTTGGAATCAGCTGAGGCACTATTAAAATTTCATTTAAAAACACATTCCTTTTAAAAACGTCAATTTAACGAAAGCAGTGATGTGAGGAATTCCAAAAGCACACGTCTTCATTGTGTTGCTTGGAATGTCCCCAATCGCCTGTGCACTAGCTTTTCATATCCAGGCTGATTCATCTGAAATGCGAGCACTCTCCCAGCCTGCCTGATGAGTGGAGAACAGAGGTAAGCTATCATTTTTATGCTGGCAAATTTACGCTTCAACAAAGCAATCGGAATCTTTAGTGATTTGCTTTGGAGAAATGTACCCTTTGCTTCCACGGTAACAAGCAAATGTCTCTTAGTTGTTTTTGCTGGGGTTTCCATTACTCCCTTCATTCTACGGTAAATTGAAAACTCCCTGAAAACAGAAACCAATTTTTCTGTTTGATTAATTTGTTTTTTAATGGAGTAGGAAGACTCAGTGACCAGAGATAGGAAGAGTTATGCAAAGCATCAAATGATTATTTTTATTGTCCAAGGATAGTTTATCAACCAAGACTTGTCACAATTGATATTTCCCTTCTAAGATGGATACTGTGCAGAATTGCTAGCATAGGTAGCTAGATATTAATAAAGGAAGAGAGCAAAGGGAATTGGACATTGTTGAATCTAATGGGCTGGGAGCTGAATCAGACGATAAACTTGCTTCACCAGGAAGTTACAGCTTCACACACTCTCTAGGGTAGGGGTGTCGAACTCAATCAGAGAAGGGGCCAAAATCTAAAATCCAGCCTAAATCGCGGGCCGAATGGTTTACTGAACAGTCATAAACTGTCATTGTGATGGAAACGCAGCGGAGTGCGGTGATGACAGCGTGGTGCGGGCCACATTGCAAGGCCTGGCGGGACGGATTTGGCCCGTGGGCCTTGTGTTTGACACTTGTGCTCTAGGGCATCCTCTCCTCTCAGGACCTATTCCTCCCCCACACCCAACTCCCCCTTCCCACCCCCACCTCCGGCAAGGGGGCAGGAAGGATTGTTACCGGTCATTACCAGGGGAGGAATAAAAACAGCAAAAGAAATTCCTCTGCTGGGAGTTTGCCTAGATGGTTCAGGTAGAGGTGCCTCTATGATGAGGCATGTGCAACAGGAACTAAGATGGTGACCTAGAAGGGGAGGTACCTAGCCTTGGATTGGATAAGGGACACAACTCCAGAAAATCTTGGAAATAGATTGGTTAGGGGTTGGGCCCCTCAGAAGCCCATGAAAGATTGGGAAGTTGACTAATTATTTTGAAAGGGTGCCTGACCCTTCCCAAGCCTGAGGTAATATATTCCAAGTTTAACAAAGCTCCGTTATCTCTGGTGCCCATGACACTCCCTTCCCCATTCGCTCACACTTTCTCTCTTCATAGCAGCCATGCCACCCTAACAGCCATCTGGGTCCAGCAACCTCATGGGCTCCCAGCCTGGGCTCGTGCACGGTGCTAGCCAGAGCGTGCAGCTGGGGATAGACTATGCCTGCCAGATGGTGACAGACATGGACCAGAACCAACGGCACAGAATTTCTGGTCCCCGGCCTTTGTATGGGGGTTTAATGAAAACAAGGTTGGACTTTTTTCACAGTGGGATGGTTGAAGATAAGACATTGGGAACCTGGGGGCAGCCTTCTGTTTCCACCCAAATAAATCTTACCACCTCATCCTCCCATATGGGTCCTTGAAAAATGCTTTTCTCCTGACACTGCAAAAACCCCATTTCCACCAGCAGCAGAATCATAAATTCCTGCATTTCACCACCATATCCTTTATTCCAAGTGGGTTGTGAGAGAGGCTAGAAGATACCCATGCAAAATTAAAATAAATTCTCACTTAATTATTATTATTCTTTATTTTTATTCCTTAATTATAAGCAGAATTTGAGTAAGTTTAATATTGTATACAATATTTTAATAATTTCTTAGCAATCTATTGTAATAAATATAGTAGACCCTGTACTACCTAAGACTTCAGGAAATGATTAGGTGCCCCCATCAAACACTGCGCAAACACAATGCAAATCTGAATATCAGTGCCATTCTGCAGACAGAGCAGACACACTGCTGCTCCACATAAGAATGAGATTTAAAAGGAAAAAAGTAACTATGAATAAATATCAGCAGTGACGGACAAATCCATTGGCACATACATGCGTGTATACACATTATGAGTATGTGCACACATAACGGTATAAAAATTAGGTGGACAGTGAATTCAACAAACATTTGAGAGTCTTCTCTGTCTAAGAACTGTGTTACTCCTAAGAAACGGAGTCAGTTCTATTACCATTGTCTAAAAAGGTTGAAGAATGTGGCTAGGTCTAAATCCGGAGTTTGTCTTTGGACACATTAAAGAAGTCAGTATTGAGACAGGCTAGACCCCTAATCAATCTACTTCTTTCTGGCTGCTTCTTTTTCTTCCTGTTACTCTCTCACTCCCTGTACCAAATGCTATCCTCTCACTATAGCACCTGATACTTTGTATGTGCATTTGATTCTCCAGACAGAACATTGGTTATGGTATGGGCTGAATAGGACAGAAAAAATAATAATAAATAAAAGAGATTTTTTTTTTAATTTCACCTTATATCTACTTTTAAAACACTCATAAAAGATGGGAGATATACACAAAATTAATAGGGAACAGGAAAATATATAACTGAAGATTACATGGCATAGTTGCGATAACAAGATACAGCTGCATAATGCTTCTTTAAAGTTTATGGAGCATTTTTTCCCTCCCGTAACTCATTTGAACCATGCACTTGACTTTATGACAGGGATACCAACTTAGAGGGGAAAAAATAAGCTGCCTAAGTCACATGTCTAGCAATCAAGAGCTTGCTCTCATAACTGACATGAAACGTTGCATTCTTCCCACCACACGAAGCTGCTCTCACAAAGGTCCACAGCTGTCGTTCAGGGAATGAGGAAAGCAGCGTGGGTGATGCGCACCCTGAGCCTCTGGGGAGATGCAAGAACTGGATCAGAAAGAAGAACTCCAGGTGAGGGTGAGCAAGAGCAGAGAGGTCTTGAGTGAGGAAGAGCCATGAGGCAGCAGGTCCTGCTGAGGAGAGAATCTTTATAACCAGAGAAAGATGTCTTCATAATAAGTGAGGACATTCAGAGTTCAGAATGAAGTGCATGACTTGATTTGACTCACCAAAGGAAACAATGATTGACTCTAAAACAGAATGAAAGCAATGTTTTGGGGAAATTAACCTGGTAGGGCATGAGAGATTCACTGGGGCAGCAGAAGGGAGTGGGGCAGAATGAAGGCCGGGGAACCAGGTAAGACCCAACAGCAGTCATTTAGTAAGAAAGCAGTGAGCACTTGCAGCAGTGAGGGGAGTGTCAGTGAAAATGGCCAGGAATGAAGGAAGTTGAGGAGTGCTAACAGGTGAAGGGGACCAAAATTTTGCCACCCTGAAGCTGCCTTTTTGAGATATTGACGTTAAGTTGTTTATTAAGAAACAAGATTCAGAAAGAACCTTAGACATCCTCCCCCCTTTCCTACTCAAGAGATTCAGATAGACAAAAACTTGCTTCAGGAAGATCTTAGGATGTTAGCTTTAGCCTCATTTAAATTAAGTATGGTAAATAAGAGGGCTTCTGGGTATTGTTAGTTACAATGTGTTTCATTGTTTCTCAGTCTCCTAGCATGAACTTGCCTGCCATGTATGTTAACTGCCTGTAAATCACTCATTCTCAATTGTGAAATCTAATACTCCATTCCCACCCCCTTCTCCTTTATCCAAAAATGTCATATATATCCATTGTTGCCTCCAAATGAAAATTTGGAATTTTCATGCTTATGTGAATTCCCCATGCATGTCTTAAAAATTAATTTTGTCCAGTTAAATTTTTCTGCTCATTTGATTATTAATCCAAGTAGAAAACATTCTAATGTGGCAGGAGAAGAATTAATATTTAGTCCCCACATAAGGAAAATATGAAATGTATTGGCCAATGGGAAAGATGGAGAGAGGAGAGAGGAACTAAGTTGGGCTGGTAAAAGGCTCTATCATAAGGTACTAGTTAATATTCCAATATTCACTGGCAGACCAATGATCAATCTGGTTAATTCTGCTCTTTCACTTTGAATCAAGGATGACTTACTAACATAATTAAGATTCCATACCCTTATTAGGGATTTGGGCATAACTAAGTTCTGACTGAATATTACTCTTGAGAGTAAACCCAGTGGGAAAGCTGAAGATGGGATGAATAGATAATTTAGGTTCAGATCACACAGACACATGGGTACTGTACTATAGAATCAGTGAAGGTTTTGATGCAAGGGAGTGACATGAGTTGGTCAGTGTGAAATTTAAAATTCAGAAGTTTAGAATTTGTCCCTTTGGGATAAAACAAGAAAGAAAGCTTGAACTAAGAAGTGACTGGGCGTGAGAAGAGAGGGAATAAAAGCAAATACTTTTAAGCACCTGGAATTACTATACTTTTAAGAAATTTTAAGCAGGTACTCTGCTAAGTAGCGTATGGGCACCAATTCTAGAGTTACTCAGGTATTAATCAGAAGGTTGAAGAATGTGCCTAAAAGGTATAGATGTTAATAAGAAGGAGAGCAAGGGACCACCCTATTTTGGCCACAGGGTAAGGGTGAATACTGGTCAGTGGAGGAGGGTGATGAGCGTGGTGTTTTAAATGCTGCATTTGCAGTACCTTTGGGCCATTTAGGTGGTGAGATCTAGTAGGCAGCTGGAAATACTACAAACTGGAGCCCTGGGGAGAGGAGAACATGTGAATGAGTTTTTTTGCTGCCGACCTTCGCCAATGCTACATTTAAAGGCTTGGTAATTTGGGGAAAAACAAGTTATTTCAAATGAAGAACTAAATATAGCATGAGTCTATCTCCTGTGTAAAGGAATTCACGTAATCCCTTCATTTTCCAAAATTTCCTTTTAAAGATGAGACAAGTTATTTATTTTTGCAATGGCAATCCAGTTGCCTAAGATAAAAAGTCTTATGTTATATAACACATACACACTTTTTTGAGTGGCTTCTACCTGTCTTGCCCAACTGGAGGTGAACAGCATTGGAAGCAAAGATGCATTTACATAACTTCCAGCCTCCTTGTGGTAGGTGTTCACGGCCTTCCTGATCATGGCCAATTCTCTAACCAAACTGTGGGGCATATTTTTAAAATTTTACTTCAGTGTAATAAAGCTGCTCCCTCTCCCACACTGCTTCAACTTTCATTTGTGCTCTAAACTTAGCAATTGTAGAAACAGTGACTATATTTAGTTTAACAGAGTTAATAGATACACAAAGGAATTTCAGATGTGGTATGTTTTGCAGTTTTATAAATATCAATCTTTCCTTTGCTAGCTTTGATGAAGCTGGAAAATGAACCCTCGGGGAATCTAACAGGAAGGATACTTCCTGTTTTGTTTTTCTCTATGGAATTTATCTCCACTTAACGTACTATGTAATGATTATGCCTACATTCTGCGTCTCCCCATTAGGCAGTAAGCTTGAAGAACACAGGGCTTTTATCTGTAGGGTTCACTGATGTATCCCCAGCACTCAGCCTAGAGAGTAGGGTCTCAATAAATAACTGAGAGCGAATAAATCAGGGTCTTGTGATTATTATATCTCAAGAAATTATCATGTGTTTTTCCTTAGCAATCATGACTCAGTCTCCATGCTCCAACTCAGTCCTGAGCCATGATTTCTATTTATATACCCGAAGGAAATTCTTTCAGGACCCATGTTATGGTGGGACCCTGCAGGGCCTTGAAGGTTATCAATACAAAGAAATTATCATGGGAAAAACTACAGCCAAGTGTCAAAACCTCCCAGGTTCTCCAGGTGATTCCTCTGCCTAGCTCTGTCCTGTGAGGAGGAGTTATGATTTCTCACCTACCCATCCTTCTCTGACTTCTGGTTTCATGATCTCACTTCCTGTTTCAGCATATGTTTCAGCCTAGGCTTCCTTTCAGTGTTCTGACCCAGGGTTACTTGAGTGTGGCATCTGTTGTTTTCATTGTTGACAGTTTGACTTGTGTATGCGTGTGCACGTGTGTGTGTGTGTGTGTGTGTGTGTGTGTGTGTGTGTGTGGTTAAACCTAGAGAATGGTCCCAGCCCAAATTTTCTAGACAGATTTCACAAAGTTTAGAATTATAAGACAGATATTATGGACTACTTTTCCCCTTAAATTTCTTAATGTCCTTTGCTCTCCCTATTGTAAAACCTAGTAATTTCCTCATCACCCTACTTGATGAGATAATCACTGTGACCATTTGTGCTCCTTACTCAACATGAAGTTTTTTCTCTGGTCAACTGGATTTAGTATGAATTATTATGCAATCAAAGACAAGAATAAATTATCATACTACAAATTCATGTTAAGAATGAAATTAAAAGGACTTTAAAATGAGAAAAGAGATGTTTTCTAAGTAATTTATGTGGCAACCTTTCCATTAGATATCTAGATATGGTAGGGGAAAAACTGGTTTGTGTACTCCTTGTGAAAATGTAGCCATTGTATAACATAGGTTCTGGCTGTCTAAGTCATTGGATTGGTCTAATTTAATTCACAGAGCAACAATTCCAAACACATCAACTGTATCAGTGAGGCACTATTTCAAACGGCTCTCATCACCTGCACAGAAGACAATTCATTTGACAGCACTCTTTTCTTGGGCAATGACTCAAATCAGCTAGGCTGAAAAATAAATCTAAAGGGCACACAGCTGTCATATAGCCTGAAGTAGCCCTCTGAGCAATAACTTGATTCATTTCCCCTGGTTCTGCAAACAGGACTGCAATCCAAGAATCTATTTCCCCCTCAACGTGAAGAGAGCTGCTTAGGATCCTAGCGAGGGCTCTCTTTAAGTGAATTCCTTTGCCCTTTTGAGTATGGTAAACTGCACATAGTGATTTCTTGATTTTATTTAACAGGAAATAGGCATTTTACTTAATGAATGATGTGAATCAGTCACAAATAAGGGCTCTAAAATTAGAAAACAATATTTTATTAAAGTAATGTTAGCATCAGAGTCCAAGGAACAGACAGGTACCAAATTGAATTTCTATGTAGACTGGGAATAAGTGACTTATTTTCCTTGTAACAGTCCCTAATTATTTTTTTTAAACTTTTGGTTATGGAAAATTTTAAATATACACAACAGTAGAAGAGAGTGGTGTAATGAAGCCCATGTGCCCTTCTCTTGGATATAACAATCATGCCGAAACTGGTTTGGCTCAGTGGATAGAGCATCAGCCTGCGGACTGAAGGGTCCCGGGTTCGATTCCGGTCAAGGGCATGTACCTTGGTTGCGGGCACATCCCTGGTAGGGGATGTGCAGCTGGTCGATGATTCTCTCTCATCGATATTTCTGGCTATCTATCCCTCTCCCTACCTCTCTGTGAAAAATCAATATATATATATATATATTTAAAAAAAAGATTTAAAAAAATAATAATCATGAGACCCACCTCCCCTAGATTATTTGAAACACATTCTATTGTCATTTTACCTGTCTTATCTCTAAAAGGTAAAGAGAGTCCTTAAAAAAATACAGCCACAAAATCATACCCATACCAAGAAGTGTGCTGGCAGTTTTAACAACCAGTTCTCCTGGGGGGAGGAGAGAAGGGGAAGAGAGGCCCTGATATGCAGCTTTTGCCCTTTCCATCTCATGGTGTAAGTATTCCCACCAAGGCCAATTCCAAGGTGCCAACATGCTGCGCCTGCATGTGGCACTGAGCAGAAAGGTGCAGCACACCGTTTTACAGGACTTCCGCTAGGCAGATACATTAGACATAAATAACCCTGAGAACATACATAACAGCAAATTAGAGTAAAATAATTAGGAAGTGATCCATTTGGAGCATTGATTTTATTTTAACACTTTAATTTTGAGTATGTATAATTTAATTTTTTAAATGGCTATGTTTAACGACTGGCTTGCAAAATTCCTGAAACAGAACAATCAGCTCTCGTCAGCTCTGGCATACCACTGAATCACATCCAAATATTTAACAATTCCTTAAAATTCCCAACCATCCAAAATCCCCTGACACACCTCTCGTCCCTCTTTTTCCTCACAGCAGAGAAGCCTCTCAAGCAGGGTGAAGAGGGAACTCAGCTTCAGGAAGCTACACCAAAGTGTTAGGCTTTCCAAATGGCTGCTCCACCGTGAAAGTCTGCTTCCAGGCAGTTAAATTAGATGTGGCGTGCACACATTCCTGTAGATTACTGGGAATCACAGGCATGTTTTTATTTCACTTTTACTGCCCATGCTCAAGCTCCTAATGAAAGAGTTTGAAAAGGGATAGGACAGGGACTTTTCAGAAGGAAAAATAAGTCCTTCCCAGGTAGACCACCTCGAGTTGATGGAGAGTTCCAAAAGGAAGATTGCTAAGAAGATGCGAGATACCCTTCCGTGCCTGATCTGTCCCACCACTGACACGCTAGGTTAAAAAGCCCTCTTTAGCCAAAACCGGTTTGGCTCAGTGAATAGAGCGTCGGCCTGCAGACTGAAGGGTCCCAGGTTCAATTCCGGTCAAGGACATGTACCTTGGTTGCGGGCACATCCCCGGTGGGGGGTGTGCAGGAGGCAGCTAATCGGTTTCTCTCTCATTGATGTTTCTAACTTTCTATCCCTCTCCCTTCCTCTCTGTAAAAAATCAATAAAAATATATTGGGGGGGGGGGAGCCCTCTTTAAATGAGCCTTCCAGCACTGACTATAACAAGTGGGATGTGGCAGGGCCCAAGGTGACGTTCAGTGGGGTAGCTGCCATCCTCAATAGGTGCCCGGCTACACCGCAACTCCTCCTTGAGCTCAGAGTCTAGTAAAACTCGAGTCCAGTTAATGAACCAGTGTTTACCACCACTCAGCCCGACTCCACAGTGTGCGCTCAGGAACCCACTCCCACCACCAAATCAGTCCCCAAACTGCCTTTCCAACATCATTTCCCACTATGCCTTCGAACAAACCCTTTATTCCAGACAGGTCAGCCTACCCACCACCCAAAAAACACATACCGTCTTTATATTCCAAACTTTATCTTATGAAAAATTCCAAATACATATAAAAGTATAAACAATAGTCTACGGAAACCTCGTGTACCCTTCACCCAGCTTCAGCAATTATCAACTTGTATTACACCAGCCTGAATGTACCATTTCACCCACAATTATTTCAGTACTACATACTTTCCTGCACACCTCAGCTCAGACATTTCCCTGAGATCCCTTCATCTTTCTTTTTTAATATATTTTATTGATTTTCCACAAAGAGGAAGGAAGAGGGATAGAGAGCTAGAAACATCGATGAGAGAGAAACATCGACCAGTTGCCTCCTGCACACCCCCTGCCAGGGATGTGCCCACAACCAACATACATGCCCTTGACTGGAATCGAACCTGGGACCTTTCAGTCTGCAGGCCGACGCTCTATCCACTGAGCCAAACCGGTTTAGGCTAGCCCCTTCATCTTTCCATATTCTATCGCATCCTGCAAGGCCAAGCTCATGTCTTATTTCCCACATAATTTCCATTGAACTTGTTCCTCAATCATAAGTCTCCTTGAAAGGAGTTTATGCTTCCTAGGACATTTTCAAAGCCTTTGGCTTCTCAACTTTGCATTCTGTTTTGCCAAAGAACAATCATTTGCAAACATATATTATATCAAACACTACTTAAAATGGAATTGAGATCTCTTTCTTCTCCAGTAGAAAAGGAGACAGAGCCCGGCAAATGTGGCTCAGTGGT